GTGGGCCGGAGGAGCTTAGGGATCCTCTCCGCAATGTCCCGGACGCGGGCCCCCAGATGAGGCTGGGCTATTACACGCAGCTCTCCAGATTGCTTAGTAAGCTAGGTCCAGTCCAACAGTGCAGGTTTGAATGCTGTTAAGTGCAATGTTGTACATCTAGGAACTGGAAATACAGATCAGTTGAACCAAGTAGAGACCATATCCAGGAAAGCAACAACTGGAAAGGATCTTGGAGTACTGGCAGACAAGCAGCTCAGTATAAATGTCCTGCGTCATACCGCGGGAAAGGATTGTGAGTGCAGTGCATGTGAGCTGTTACTAGTAAGAGCAGGGAGAAGGTTTTATCGCTGGACTTGGCATTGCTGAGATGGACATTGAACCATTTCATCTGGTTGGGGTGTCTGCACCATCAAAAAGAAGTTGAAAAACTGCACAGGCGACAGAAAGAAGATGCCCGTGGAGTGAGAAGAGGAATGAACTGAGTCTGCCTAGCTTGTCAAAGAAGAGGTCACCTAAGGGTTGTGAGAAGTGCCTCCCCAGGAGCAAACATTAGGTACTCTTTAAAGCCAAGGGGAAGAGGCATAACATCAACCTGGGACCAAGGCAAACATTTTTTAATAGCAAGGGGAACCAGTCACTGGCACAAACTCCCAAGGGAAAGGGTGGGTTCTCTGTTTCTTGATGCCCCCAGATCCAGTGTGATGCCATTGTGGAGCATGTGGGTCAATCAGAACAAGTGACTATAGCCAGGGGGTCACCGGGTAACCCTGTATGACTGGCGATAGACTGGAGATGGTCTAATGGTCTCTTCTGCCCTGAAATGCTAGGGTAGCGTAAGCCTTGTCCTACCTAGTAGGTGCCTACCTGTGATCCAGTGCCACCCTGCTCGAGTCCCTGAAAAAACCTAGTGTGGAAAGAAAGTGGCAGGGAGAAGTGGAGCCTTGCCCCATCCTGAGACCGAATGTGCTGTCACCGGATCGTACCTGATCTAACCACTGTCCCAGCATCCAGCTAGGAGCGAGAGCAGTGGGGGTGGAGGGATTAGCAAAGGATGGAGCCTCTCTTCCATGCAAGTTCCTGCCAACATTTCCTCTTGGACTCCCTTTCCCTATGTCGGACCCACGCCCCAGTGCCCAGCATAAAGACACAGAATTTAACAACCCATGCCTTAAAATGCCTCGGGGATCGTACTGTATGCCAGTCTCACAGGGGAGTCCCCCCACTTGCATAACTTGCATTGGATTTGTAAAGAGCATCCTCAGACCAAGTGCACCCAGGGCCTGCTCCTGTCCCTCCGAAACCAACAGCAAAGCTCCTACTGTTTCCTATAGGCACAGACAGCACCGATGATTGCTGTGATGTGCAGAGCAGCCGCGCCGAGCCTGGAATAGCCAATATTGTTTAGGGGTTGGAAATAAATCCAATACAAGAGGGAGGTGGCTGGGCTCCAGGAGGCTGCTCAGAGCCTGTCGTCTTGTCCTGGGCTGCAGTGATTTATAGTGCAGAGGTGGAAGCTGCATAGGACCGAGCTCAAGCCGTCCCCCAGTAGCAACACTCTGGGCTGCCAAGCAAAAGAGCAGAGCTGCAGTCTTGGAGGAGGGCTCTTTCACTCTTGGCCGAAAGCTTCCTAGAGGCACGTGGCATTTGGCTGTGGTAGGTGGCATGGCTACACTGGGCACTGTTTTGGTAGCAACCCCTGCCAAACCACGAGGAGTGGAACAAGTAGGCTCCGCACAGAGCATGAGCGCTGTCCTCTCGGCTCCAGCACGGTGCGGTGGTGCAGGCGCATTGGAAGTGGGAGGCACTGGGTACCGGCGATGTAGCCTAGCTCGGAGGACATCAAGGGGGCTATGAAAGGGATG